GCTTCTGTATCGTGTTATGCGAGACTCACATTACATATAAAAAGTGAGTTTACATTCCAAAACGATTTTTTAAATATAAATTTAATCTAAAAGTAAAGAAAAAACAGTTTTATTTAATTCAGAAAATTTCATTTAACAAAACATGAATTACAAAACAAAAACAAACTTATTAAAGTTCGCAAAATAAAAAATTGTACATAACAATCTTTTATTGCTATGTACTTATGACTTTAACTAACTTGTCCACATTTATTAACTAATTAGCAGATGAGTCTGGCATTGCTCGAGCAAAAAATAGCAACAGCAAAGATTAAGATTATTAGATTATTTCTTACTTCTAACCCTTCTATTATATTATAGTATAGTATTTGTTTTATATAAGTACAGAGGTTAGCTTACGTAAGTGTTTATCACACCGAGTGACTAATCTAACACATTTAACTTAAAATTCTTTATTCCTCTACTGTAGAAAATTTAAAGTTAAATTGTGTTAGATTAGTCACTCGGTGTGATAAACCCTTACGTAAGCGAACTTTTGTACTTATATAAATCAAATATTGTAATATATCGAACATTAATTTAATAAAACGAAAACCATATAAAAAGTTTAGTTATTTCAGTCTACCATTATCATATTTATCGCGATACTTGGATGGTAAGAAATGTCACAATTACATTGGTCAAGTAGACACCAATTGATAATGTGATATCTTAAATTTTTTAAGATATCACAATTTTTCCTAATGTTAATTAGGAAAAAATCATGATATCTTAAAAAATTCCCCCGAAAGGAGTTAGCTAGATGACCAGCATGAGTCGATTGCTAACAGGAAAAGTATTATGTACAGGGGCAAGAACACCAGTAAAGAATTGAGAACATTGTGACGAAAAGTTGCAGTCCGGCATTGTGACGATGTCACAATAAATAATCGCTCCTTAGAATTAGTTTGGTCGCGTTGTAGTGACCAAATAGATCACCACAACTCGACACCCGAGCTATCTGCCGAGGGGATTCATCCCAGGAAGATTTTTTGGGACTCACGATCTATTTAGGTGTTACTAACGGAAAGAAAACCCGAAAAAACTCCGTATGGCCGGCCCGTTGGCCATGCTCGAAACCAACAGTCAGTGTTCGGTGGTTTTATCCACTCGGCTACTGGAGAGCACTTATTAGAATTAAGAAGGTACCGTTCAGAAATGAAAGAACTCGAATTGTTAGATGTAGAAAATGAAATATTTATATACTTACTATAGACTTTCCACAAGGTAACATTACTGAGACAGGCAAATGTTATATGCCACCTGTCTCAGTAATGATATAGCTCGTCTATTTCGCGCTAAATTACTGTCGCAGTAATTAAGTGAATATAATATATATTTTTTAAAATTATATTCTTTTTTGTAAAAATTATATTTAGTTTATTATTTTGTTAAATTTTTTGCCAATAGATGGCACTACGTGTAAATCAGCAAATCGAATATAGATAGAAATTAATTGATTTATAGAAATCTATTCGATATTTTTGGGTGGGATGTACAACATTATCTAAGTTAAAAGTGTGTAAACGTAACTGTCGCGTTTCGTAGCAATTGGTCGAACGGCCTGGGAGTGTGTAGCGAACAAAGAAACAAACAAACATCGTTATTTATACAAACAGATTAAATGCTATTTTCAATAACTCAACTGAAAAAAAGGAAATTACAAATAGCATATAGCTTACACACAAAATGCCCAAGGGAATTTCCGGTGTGTAATTGCATAATTGTTATCACAAAATAGTTTTTTTTTAAATTTTCTAACAAGATTGCCATGAAAAATAAAAAACTCATCATTACAGAGAAAAGCTTTCACTATGTAGGGGGAAGTGTACAATCTACATTGTCGAGCTATGTTGTAACTGAAAGAACAGTTACTTGAATAAGATAAACAGATGATTTCATATAAACTCTCATAATGAAATCGTGTTGTATAAGTACTAAACAAGGATTGCTACAATTTATGAACTGCGTTGTGCTCTGTTATACAGGGTTACCTGTATAACAGAATTCAAAATTTACTTTAATTAAATTTAAAAAAGTTACACTACTTTATTCTTTATTCTGAATAAATTAAAAAGCTATACAAACTTCAAAAATTAATTCGCATCTATCTCGGCTCTTAATATACCTGTATTTAGTATAATTTAATAAACAATTACTTAAACACAATATAAGTTAATTGATTAAAATTGAAAATTTGGCTGACAGTATTTACATTAAAACATAAAACATAAATATATTGAAACGACAAAATGTCTTCATTTTTCTAGCGTATAACTGAACAGCAAATGTGTAATAGAATTTTGAATTGTGCAGTGGGAATCCCATATTTTTGCAGTAATTCATTATTCGATTTCCGGGTTTTGTAAGTATTTCTTTCTTCCGGTTATGTGAAAATTAAAACATTTACCTAAATTACACAGAGTACGGTAAAACCTGTCCAAAACGGAACCTGAATAAAAAAGAAACCAGCCTAAACGGAAAAAATTCTTCGAAACTGAAACCTGCCAATTTTTTTCTATGTTAAAAAAACCTGTTCAAAATAGAAACCAGCCAAACCTGAAAAAATAATCGGTACCGTGCGATTCTGGTTCAAAAAGGTTTTACTGTATATTTTATTCGGTCCGCAGAAAAGAGCTATGGAAGAAATGTTAGTAGGATTTACCATAGGAATACTATTTTTATAATGATTATCTTCCTGTTTCGATGACTATTCTAAAATACGGTAAAACCTGTCCAAAACGGAACCTGAATAAAAAAGAAACCAGCCTAAACGGAAAAAATTCTTCGAAACTGAAACCTGCCAATTTTTTTCTATGTTAAAAAAACCTGTTCAAAATAGAAACCAGCCAAACCTGAAAAAATAATCGGTACCGTGCGATTCCGGTTCAAAAAGGTTTTACAGTATATTTTATTCGGTCCGCAGAAAAGAGCTATGGAAGAAATGTTAGTAGGATTTACCATTTATATTGAATATATATAATAGATATTTTTTTATGCAGCAGCAACCTAAACGTTATCATTTAAACTATAAACTACTACCACAGTGTACTTATCGTACAGTAAATTATATCACTGTGCAGGCACACAATGCGTACTGCGCACGTCTAACGATTAAAATGGAACAGTAATTGAAATTAATAAATAATTATATAAATATAAGATTTGTTTTATTGTTCTTATTTTCCATTTATGTCTTTTAGAACAGCTTATTAACGCTAGGATTTATTGGTTTGGCCAGAACAAAACTGATATTTGTGCAGTAGGAAAAACTTTAGAATAAAGTGTGCATTTTTCTTGGTTCTTTTTTTCTGTGAAGGTGCAGCCTCAAATTAAAGGTCATCTCCGTAAGTGAAAATCTGGTCACTAGTTACTGGTGTTTCTGAACGACAGAAAATGAAGACTTTTTTAGCTTCAATATATATATACTGTATTTAAACGAAATAACCATTATTTTAAATTTTATGTGATCAAAGTGTAATGATGTGTTAAGGTAACATCACACATGGTAAAGGGTTGCCTCCCAGGAAGACTTTCTTTGCGAAACCCCTAGTTAGGTGTTAGACACGGAATGAAAACCCGGGAAATTCCACCTGACCAGCCCGTTCGTATGCACGGAACCCGCGACCAACTAATATAATATCAGGTGGCTTTATCCACTGTCACTAGTGGTACGACTGAACTTAAACTTGTGGCCCTAAGCTATAATATATTATATATTAATAAAATGTCCTTCCCCTCCACCAAATAATGATACAAGTAAAAATGTATAATTATTTGGTGGAGCCAAATTCCGCTTCTGTTTGGTAGGTTCTCTGATCAAATTTCAAACTATTTTTCTGTTAAACTTTTTCATAGATACACAGATCTATTTGTTGGATAGATTCCCGTGATAGCGTTGTTAGCCGTCCACCATAGAGGGAACCCGGTTCGAACCCACTCCAGACCTCATAATTTATCTTGAGAAGAAAGCCTGTGCTTCATCCGCGCTGGACGACCCCATGACGGGTCAGGCCTATCCGTAATGAACGTAATTATGATCAGCCACGTAGCTTAAACGAACCGATGTCATGTGCCAATTAATCGATTAATCAATAAATATTAAACGATATTTAAAAATTAATCGGATTTTCTACAAACTTCTACTTTGATTACTTTTTTACAAACTCTTAAACTTTCAGTAGGATTAAGGTCTCAAGTTAAAAGTAACGCAGGTTAGAGAAATAATACGGATTAACTTAATCTTTTCTAACTTACCGAAATATAAACATTACTAATTGAAGTGGATTCATATCATCAAAATTAACAGTACGAAATATTAACTTAGATAGCATTTATAATGTAAATGACCTTTTTACTCTTTTTATTACAGATAAATATCTATTTAGAAAGTAATGTTCCGTTAATTCGAAAGGAAAAAAAAACACTTACTTTCCATTTAGCATTATTACTAATGGATTTTTATAACGCAGAACATTTACAAGTAATTAATTATAATTAATTGGAGAAATGAAACATTAACTAACCACAATCCATCTCGTCGGAATTGTCTCCACAATCATTATCTCCATCACACCACCAAGACTTCAAAATGCATCGTCCAGTAGCACAAATAAATTGATCTTTGGAACAAACAGGAATATCTGAAATGAAATTAAAATTATTTTCGTAAATTCTCCAGATTCTAAAGCTTTTAAAAAAGAATTATATTTGTTGTAAATTTAATAATTTTTTTTTACTGGAGAAATATAAACTGAATTAATGTTTTCAGAAAACTGCAACTGCTGTCGCTTACTGTAAAAGAGGAAATGGCTTTTCGTCTGGTAAAAAATAAAATAAAAAATAAATTCCTCTCATTCTTCTTTAATAATTTTATAAATCAATTTTTTACTTTTAAAATAATTGTTTCAGAAGATTCAATAATTTTTTTAACTTTCTGAATTTTTTAAATTCAGAAAATAACGATTAAAAAAATCCGGAAAAATTTTTTGACAAACGGAATCTTACAAATACTGTCAAAGAGAACAAAATCCATCTTTATTTATTCTCTTGAGAGTACATCCTCACAGAATTTTTGATAAAAATTCCTTAAAAAGAATTATTTTAAAATTTTGAACAGTTTTTTCAATCTTTTAAGATTGCAAAATTGTATCTATTTCCAACACATAATCAGCCTACTACAGAATTTTAAGCATAAAACCAGTTTAACTATCTTCATTCCTTAATCTTTTCTGATCTTCTGATGGACTAAATTCCGACTATTCTACTGTTGTGTTTATCTTCTACAATTGTGAAACTTTCGAACAGATATACTATCTAACGACAAAGACGGTTGTTTTCAATAGAAATAAAAATTAAGCCATATATACATTCACATTATCCTTAAATAACTTCTCAAAAACTAACGCTATCTTTGCAGGATTACTTTTATAATTTATCCTACTGTCAATACAATTTTATGCAGTTTGTTGAACACCTGAAAATAAAAATAAAACGATATATACATAGCTCACCAGTGGCCGAGCGGATAAAAACACTGAACACTCGCGGGTTCCTAGCCTCTCCAACGGGTAGGCCACGTGAAGTTAACTGGGTTTTCTCAAATAAGGATCAGTTTCCCGTAGAAAATCCTTCCGGAAAACATAACCCCTCCACAGAATGTACCCTTGTCGCATTTCCGTATACAAACAACCAATATATGACTCTTTCTGCCATGTAAGCACTAACAGGGTCTTTTTTCAGGCCAATCGTGAGTTCGTCCAGGCCCACAACGGGAAGAATGGGACCGTATCCGAATAAGGGACGAACCACTCCCGAAAAATTCTTGGGGTTGCTCACCCGAATTTGATCCCGGCTCCTCCGCAGAGATAAGTTGACAAATATTTGATTTTAATACTTATATAAATCGGATGAAGAACTAAAAATAATATAATTAAATAATAAATAATTGTATGAATTAATTATTAATTAAATGTTGTGCTTTGTATCTCCTTACTTGTCTGCTTTAAGCACAGATACAGTATCAATCTCAAAAGCTTAATTGTGTGTTTAAGTGATTTAAAATCCCAAGTAATTGAGAAAATGAAATTTCCTTTTCTCAATTACTGTAATTACTATATATTCTTACAATTAAGGAAATTAAAATTTATTTTAAGAATGAATTCCATTTATGTAATTATTTGAGATTTTTGAATAATTTAAACAAAAATAATCAATTTTAGAAGATTGACCATGAATTGGTTTGGATTAATGGTATGAGACCACGCAACACATGGGAAATCTGCAGACAGAACAATGCTTCCCGGGAAGACTTTGTATACATTTATTTACGTGTTAAATATATAAATAAAGCTTGGAAAGCATGGTTAGCTTGTTGGTGAGACGGTAAGACACGAACCCATGACCAGTGTTCAGTGGCTCACTGATGGGCGCTTGTCTATGAATCACCGCATGTTATAACTTCAAAAATACTAAATTTATTTGTGAAACTGAACATATTTCATGCAAAATTTTCATTCCGAATATAAAAATTTCAGTAAAAAAATCATTCATAAAATTTAATTTTAACATTTAATTTCTAGATATGTGTGAGATAAGCCGTGGGTCAGGGGTTAATCTCCTACTGACCACTTAATCGGCAACAGGTTGATAAAACACGATCTCGGAGTCTATTGGATGGCTAGGAGGGCAAATCGAGTGGGGGGTGCGTCGGTAAGTCGGCAGGCGTCCTTAAGTGACAGGAGACAGGTTAACAAAATAACAAAGCATTTATTGAATAACTAAATCTAACTCTACAAGAGGTGAACTTACTACTAAGATTAAATGCGGTTATATTAAAATATTTACAGCAATTGGCGACGAAGTTCGTAACTATGTCGCTGACCTAATTTCTAGTTCGAGAGAGAGCGCTTTTACAAATTCTAACCCCTAAATACCTCTCGGTGGAAGGGAGAGTTTGGCGAACGTCGTCTGTATGGAAGGGTGTGGTGTCTTCCGTGTCTTCTTGCCGATGTCATCTCTCTGTAGCTGGATCGAGTCCGCTGTATTGAGGTTCGGGAGTCAAGGTGAGCACTATCACAAAGTATAACTTCCTATGACGAATCGCCCTGAGCTTCTTCTTTCTTTCTTCTTCTTCGATGGTGTTTATATGGAGATTTTAGCTCAATGTAGGCTCTTTCTCCGAGTAGACTTGTGTATGTGTATGATCGCTAGGCGACCGATTAGCCGGCTGTATCGAACAGCCATACGTACGCGCGGGAAATAAATGCCTTCCGGGAGGACTTTTATGGGGAACTGGCCTCCTATTCAGTCGTTATAGGCAAGGAGAAAACCCGGAAAACTCCAAGCAGCCAGCCTGTCCGACCGTGGCGCGAACCCACGACGAACCTCCCAGTTTTTAGGGTCTGGTCACCACTACGATAAGCGGCAACGGAGACCACTCGCCCACTGGTGGGGCATCGCCCTGAGCTTCCGGAGATTCGAGCTTTTATATCATTAGCGTAGGAAAACTGTCATGTGATTGACTTTTGTTGACGATGACGGTGCATTCTTCACACCTAACTGTAAACTTCCTCAGCTAGTCGTTATACAATCGGTGAAATCCGATCTAGTACAAATCGGATTTTTTCCGAAGACAATTAACACAAAATTTAGAATTTTAAAACGCCCGTAAAAATCCGCGAGCTCACATATAGGCCTATATAAATTTCTGATGATGACAAATTTATTTATTTATGAGCTTTTAAAAAGAGATATTTTAATTTTTTTAATAATGTAGATTACTTTATTAGGCCTATGTAATATTAATAACTGAAAGAAGTAAATGTATGCAAATTTTATGAAAATGATTAATACGCATGCACCAAATTCATCAGAGAATAGGTATTGATTATTTTTCCAAGTCCCGAAGAAAATTGAACTGAAAAGGAGTTTCCTGGCTGATGAAAATAAACATTGAATTTTTGGATAATAAGCATTGCTTTCGAATCGATACTGAGTAATTATAAAAAATAATGGTTTCAAATAATTAATTTCTATATAAGAAATAACATGTCCGTCAGATTTAATGGAAAATAAAGTACATTCAATCTTCACTACAAACAAGAAAAAATTACTTCGAAACTAATTTATGCGTCCTTATAGTTTTATCTTCAAAATTAATAAATATTGAACATGACCCACCGCACTAGGGATCCAGAATGAATCCTGGCGGTAGAATAACTCCAGAAAAGTTTTCGGGGGCATGTTCTGAATATGTCGTGCCCCGTCTCTCACCACTCGCTCGCCCCCAATGTGGGGCATAGTCGAATCCATGATGATTATGATTAAAAAAGGCCTTATTAGTATAGGATAAAATCAAAAATGAAAAATATATATCTTAATTTAAGTTTTCGTTCAGAAGAAATTTTATAAATTTCGATAATAAATCAATTTAAATTCCCATAAATACAAAAATGTTCACTCGTAGTTTCACATTAATAATTACATATTGAAACATCATAAACATGAAAATTTATTGTTATTACTGTTCTTGAGATATTTGAAAATAAATATAGAAAAGAAAACAATTTTTAGAGTAATAAAAATAAGAACTGCATTTCAAATTTGTCAGTCTGAAAGTATATCCGTTAAATTCCAAACGAAAACAGTATTTACAAATGAAATTCTGTCATTTTTTCATATTTTGTTTTAAAATAACCAATCTTGAAAGATATATAAGCACCATTGCGCGTATTTTTAATTTACGAGAAATTATTAGAAGCATTTTGATTATTTTTTTAATGTCGTATTTTCTGCTGCTACAACTGCTTGAATTACTCAAAATCAATATAAGCTGGATAATTTTGCATGCAAAAGAATGCACGATCACATGACTTCTTCCATCCTCTCATTAAAAAAACGATCTAACAAGCTCATACGGTCTGTGTTTTCATACCAAATTACAGTCTAAAAGATTAAAGTACCAAGACCAAATTACAGTCTAAAAGTCATTGTATATAAAAAATCGCCAAAATGCAAAAAAAAATAGAGCGACATAAACTTAATCGATTTAATAATTTCATGGATATACTTGGATATGTGTATTTTACGTGAATACGGATAATTTATAGGAACTATAAAAAATTCTGTAAGGAAAGATAAATTTAAAGAATATCTCCTGGGATGCTGTAAACGCTGATCTGGGTCACGTGCTTCCAATGCACCTTAACGGCAGATTAGTAAAGAGAAGCTGCGATGGTAAAAAAATAGTACATTTTTTGAAACACCGTCAATGATACTTAATTAACCTCACAATAAATAATTACAGTTATACTTTTTTTTATCAATATAAATTTCCGTTTTTCATTAATATATAATACTAAAATACTAATTTTATCATTATTACAGCCAGTTCGATTTTTGAATCGTCATAGTGGTGTATTTCTCACAAATGGCAGACTCCATTCTTCATCACCTGTCTGCCCCCTTTGTGAACAGGCCGAACGCACGATGGGTCTGAAAACAGGCCCTCCTAGTGAGGAGAAACAAAAAGATGATTTTCTGCTATAATTCAACTTAATTATTGGTAAAAAAAAAAATCTATCATTTTCATGAAAAGTAAACATTTCAAAACAAATACAGGTATACCTCGCCTTACGTCGGT